GTGGGGCCCGGGCCGGCGGCGGGGGCGGCAGCCGGCCCTCCCCTTCTTGCGGCCTCCCCGCTCTCACCCGCCCGTAACCCTGGGTGTAACCCAAGAGCTGCGGCTCTGCGAGGTGAAAGCAGGGGAAGGTTTTGCCCAGCTGGGCAGCGTTGAGCCAGGCCTGCAGGGCAGCGAGCCGACTCCGCAGCGGCCGCTCGCTGTGCTTATCCGAGGGCGCAGGAGAGCCCTGGCTTTGCCGAGCCAGCCCTTCCCACCAGCCGGGTCCCGCGTGGAGGACGTGGCACGTGGGCAGCGCGGGCAGGTCTGGTGCAGACCACCCGGAGGTACAGCCTGGCTCAGCCTCCTCTCCTCTTGCTCTGCCGACCTGGTGACAGATCTGCAAACTCTGTCCTCCCTGAAAGAAGAGTCACTGTGTTATTTGCTGGTGCTACTTTTTCAAAGCCAGCAGAGGTGGTGGGAGGAGATCCAGCTCTAGCCTGTTGGGCCGAGGGCAACACGAGGGAGAGCAATTCCGTGAGTCAGCTCTGCAGCTCCCCACCTTTGGGAAGGAGATAAACTGGTTGGGATGCTGTGTTCGCTGCGTGAGGTTAGGTGGAGCCAGGGAAGGAGGGAGGGGGGAGCTTTTTCCTAGCATGGGGTGATCTAGATGAAAATCTGATCATGCTCCTCTTCAGCATTTGTGGCCCAAGGCCAGAGAGAGGGCAGGCCCTGCAGCAAGAAAGAACAGAAGGAGCAAGGTAGCAAGAGAGAAGCCCCAAATGTGTCAGAGAGGATTTGTTCTCAAGCTCTGGTTGTAACTCTGATTTGATCTCTCGCCTCGGGCAGATCATTTAAACGTGGTGTGTTTTCACAGCTGTGTAATTACCTCCTGTACAGTTGTGGTGAGGGCTGTTTCATAGAGAGCTGCTCTTGTCTTTAATAAGTGATTGGTGGTGAAGTTACTAGAGGGACATACCTGTGGGGTACTCTTGCCCATGGTTTGGGTGAGGTATGTGTCTAGCTCTTCAGCTTGGCCTCCTTTCCAAGCCAAGCCTGTTCAGTGGCAGTCCAGCATTCCCGTCTGCACATTCCCCTTGCCCCTGCCTCCCCTCCCATCTCTGAACAAATACCTCCAAGGCACCTTGTGGAAATCTCCCTGCTGCATATTTTCCTTTATTTATTTTTTTAAATCTTTCCTTATCTCCTGTTTGCTCTTACAGGAGTGATTGCCTGTTGCTGAGAGCTAAAGACAGTCCTCCTCTGCCACTGGGTCCTAAGCCCCCATGAGTTTCCTAAAAGTGATGCTAGGCTATTTTCACTTATTATACACTCAGCTCCAACCTGCTGGCATGAAAAGACCTTTTGTGGGTTGTCCCAGACCTAGCACAGAGTAACCCTCAGTTTTGTCTTTTTCTCTCCAGCCAGATCTCCTCAATTTCAAGAAAGGATGGATGTCCATCCTGGATGAGCCGGGAGAGGTAAGCCTGACCCTAAAGACTGCCTCCTTCCCCAGCATCCGTTCTTGGTGTTCCCCACATGAGCAGTGGTTTTCCTTCCCCGCTTCTTGTGGTTGCTGAGAAAGAGCCAGCTGACCTCCTGCTGAGGGGGACCTTTGGGGTAGGTGCCCTGCGCATCTTGTCGAGTGCGTGTTGCTGCCCCTCTCTTAGCTGAGGTGGGGGAGTCGGAAGGGATCTGGAGAAGGTGAAAGAGCTTTGCACGCAAGCGGGCTGAAAGGTCAAGAAACAGAAAGTCCCTCCCTGTTCCTTTGCTTTCCTCAGTAACTGTCTATCCGTTTCCCTCCTGTCTTTTCCCCTCCCTTCCCCTAACTGCCTGCAGTGGAAGAAACATTGGTTCGTGCTGACTGACTCAAGCCTGAGGTATTACAGAGACTCTAATGCTGAGGAGGTAAGCACGGGCAGCATTGCTCAAGACCTGCATTCTTTCCTGGCCGTTTGTGGTGCTGAGAGGGAGAGAGGAGAGAAAAGCGACCGCTCGCATGACCAGCTTGCTTCCAGAATGGGGAATGTCCCAATAAAAGGAGCCAAATGTGGCAAGTCTCTCTTCGAGGCAGTTTGCAAAGGGGGTCCTGAAGAGGATGGGGTATATAGTGCCCCAACGAACAGGGGTGTCAAGGTCTATTGAGAGTCGCTTTTTGATGGGAGAGGAAGAGAAGGCCTAGCCACCCAGAGATCCAAGGCTGGGCTGCTCTGGTCCTCTCCATCCATGCTGTTGGTCACCACTGGAGTCAAGTTAAAAGAATCCACACTATGTAGAAGCTGAGACTGGAGTATCTGCTCATGGACTGGGCTGTAGTGTTTGGTTTTCCAAGTACCAAAAGCACCTGACCTGTGCCAAGGAGTGCTGAGAGCCTGCTAACACACTAGCTCTGGTGGGACTCCCCACCTTCTGGAGAAGGGGCTTCTTCAGAGCGGGATTTTGTACTTATGTCCTAGAGGGTGGCTGTGATTTCAGGCAGATGACCTTGATGGTGAAATCGACCTTCGTTCGTGCACAGACGTGACTGAATTTGCAGTGCAACGCAACTATGGCTTCCAGATACACGTGAGTGCCTGATACCAAACAGCTCTGGTGCTGAGCAGAGGCCACGCAGACGGGTACTCTTTGGGAACACGCGTTGTCTCCTTTCGCGTGCGTCTCCTGCGGAAGCTCCAGCAGTGCAAACCTTGTGCCACAACTGCCAGTCCAGCAAGGCTAGGTGGTGACATGTGTCCACGGTGTTCAAAGACATGAGGTACTGTGTGCCAGCAAAGGAAGGAGGGGTTTTGCTGGACTGGACTAGGGCTAGAGGCTTCCCAGGAGTAAAGCTCCTGCAGGAATGTTTACTTAACCCATTGGCCGAGGAAGCTTCTGCAGAGCTGAGTGGGAGGGAGTGGTTAGCAGAGCAGATCTTAGCACAGTGCAGTTCACCATGCTCTTGAGTAACAACCTGTACCCTGGATCCAGCCCCAGTACAGCTCTGTCTCCTGTTACTTTGTGTAGCAGTAGGAGGTGGCTACTAAAGCAGCACACATCACAGTATTTCTTTCTGTGCATGTGCACAGTTGGGCATTTAATGTCTTGGTGTCCCTGTGGCAACCAGCTGTATCCCAACATTGATGCTCAGTTCCAAGCATTAAAAAGTTTGGACTACACTTTCTAATGTTTGTCTCAATGTGCTGGCATTTTTTTTATATATATATACTTTTTTAGAAATGGTCTCATGGGGGACATGTAACAAGGTTCTGTGCAAAAAGCACACCTCCTCTCCTACCCGTCTACAAAACAGAGCATGGGTGTGAGCAAGTCTTTTGAGACAGAGGATGGTACCTCTAGCTGGTATGACAGGGACTATAGAGTCGCCAAAGAGGGGCCATAGGGTTTTGTTAAAAGCTCTTGGTGGTTTTACAGTGTGCCACCTGTGCAAGCAGGTTGCCCAGTAGTATTGGAAAAGCAGGCAAGAGCCGCCCATGGCCTTGCCTGGTTACGGCAGAGCGTCTCTCGTGTCTCCTGTTCAGACGAAGGACGCCGTCTTCACGCTGTCTGCCATGACCTCGGGCATCCGGCGGAACTGGATTGAGGCGCTGAGGAAGAACGTGCGCCCGGTCAGCGCTCCAGACGTCACCAAGTGAGACCTCCCTGGCTTCGTGCTGTCCTCTCTCACAGCATTCCTCTGTCCCTCTGCCTTAAGGGCAAGCATTGAGAAGGCTCATCAGGGATCTGTAAGGCTGGTAGCTCCCTGTCTCCCCACGTCTAAAAGGGGAGCAAGGCGTGCACAGGGATCGATGCTGGGCCTAGGCTGGAAACTCAGTACATGGCCACATCTGGACTCATGATGAGCAGGAGTTTGTTTCCATTCCTGAGTCCAGCTTGCCCGCTGTCAGCAACCAAGCACACGCTTAGTTCTAGGGGGAGGTGATGCTCTCCAGAGGCACAAGTCCCTGCTAGACTCCTGTGCTCTCCTGTCTGTGAGCTTTGGGGAATTAAGCATGGCTAGATCAGGAAGAAGTTGCAGCCCTGCCCAACCAGCTGTTTCCCTGTGCTCTGCTCTTCCTAAGCATAGCCTAGAGACACCAATCTCCAGCCACAGCCAGCAGCATGGGTTGAAATCCTGCTGATCACACTGGCCGCAGAAGCCTGCTCTTAAACCCACTTTTTGCCTCACAACATGGATTTAGTTTGAGTTTACCACTGGATTCTGGTGCAGCTGGGACTTGGGCCTAATTCTTTCCACCCCCTCACCCCTCAGGAAAGCATGTTTCCTCACACACGCATGCAGAGCTGCCAAGTGACATGATGTAACAGGCCCAGCTCTGCACTTATTTTATATTTTTTTTTAAAGGTTGGATTGAGCAAAGGCTTAACACTGAGTTAGGCCTGCAACGCACAGGCTGTTCTGCCTCTACAGGCTCCTTTCTTGCACCGTGCCTCTGTTTCACGTGTATCTGCTCTGGTTCCAGGCTCTCCGACTGCAATAAGGAAAACTCGTTCCGAAGCTACGCCCCTCCGAAGAGCTAGCTGAGGACAGAGGACC